TTCATTCTTTAGAAGGATATTCTTCAACATGTGCTTGTGGTCCTTCCAAATGTTTTCTTGTGATTGACTTCCAGTTTTATAGCATTGTGGTCTGAAAATATTAATGGTATGATCTCAGTCTTTTTGCACTGGTTGAGACGTGATTTGTGACCCAGTATGTGATCTGGAAATTATTCCATGTACACTCTAAAAGAATGTGTATTCTGCTGCTTTAGTTCTGAAAATATCTGTTAAGTCCATATTGTCCAGTGTGTCATTTAAAGCCATTGTTTTTGTTAAATCTTGTGGATAGACTGGTTTATTATGACATAGCCCTTTTTCTTGTTTTGATACAGTCTTTGGTTTAAAATCTAATTTGTCTGATATAAGTATGGCTCCTCCAGCTTTCTTTTGATCTCTGTTAGCATGATGCATGGTTCTCCACCCTCTCACACTCAATCTGGAGGTGTCCTTAGGTTTAAAGAATGTCCTTTAAGCAACATATCGATGGGGCTTGTTTTTTTTTTTTTGTTTTGATTTGGTTTATTGTTGTTTGTTTTACCATTCTGATTACCCTATGTTATTTATTTATTTATTTATTTTATTTTCATTTTTTTTACCCTACATCTTTTAGGCAAGATTAGGCGCGTTCAGGGTGGTATGGCCGTAGACCCCTACGTCTTTTAATTGGAGAATTTAGTCTATTTATATTCAGAGTAATCACTGATAGATATGAATTTGGTGCCATTGTATTACATATAAAGTCACTATTCTTGCATATTGTTTGTGTTCCTTTATAGTCTTTGTTGCTTTTGGCCTCTTTTTCCTGCTCAGAGGGTCTCCTTTAATATATCTTGTAGATTTGATTTAGTGCTTATAAACTCCTTAAATTTTTGTCTGAGAAACTCTTTATCTCTCCTATTCTGAATGACAGCCTTGCTGGATAAAGTATTCCTGATTACATATTTTTGCCATTCTGCACATTAAATATATCATTCAACTCTCTTCTGGCCTGCCATGTTTCTGTGGACAGATGTGTTGTGAACAAGATATGTCTTCCCTTGTATGTTAAGGACTTTTTTCTCCCTTGATACTTTCAGTATTCTTTCCTTGTCTGTGTATCTTGTATATTTGACTATGTTATGTCTTGGTGATGGTCAGCTTTTGTTGAATTCTCTGTGCTTCTTGGATTTTGCTATCTGTTTCCTTTCCCAGATTAGGCAACTTTTTGTCTATATTTTGCTCAAATTAAACTTCACCCCCACTTTTTTCCCCTTCTTCTGGGACTCTTATGATATGAATGTTAGTATGCTTTAAGAAGTCACTGAGTTCCATAAGTCCACATTTGTGATCCAATTGCTTTTCTTCCCTCTTCTTTTTACCTTTATTATTTTCCATAATTTTATATTCTAAATCAGTGATCTTTTTCCTCTGCTTCTTCAATCCTCACGGTCATGGCATCCAGTAGGGTTTGCATCTCAGTTATAGCATTTTTTATTTTGACCTGACTAGTTTTCAAGGTTTTTTTAAATTTTTTTAATTTTTATTTTTTTATTGAAGTTCAATTTGCCAACATATAGCATAACACCCACTGCTCATCCTGCCAAGTGCCCCCATAGTGCCCATCACCCAGTCACCCCAACTCCCCACCCACTTCCCCTTCCACTACCCCTTGTTCATTTCCCAGAGTTAGGTGTCTCTCATGTGTTGTCACCCTCACTGATATTTTCACTCATTTTCTCTCCTTTCCCTTTATTCCCTTTCACTAATTTTTATATTCCCCAAATGAATGAGACCATGTAATGTTTGTCCTTTTCCAATTGACTTATTTCACTCAGCACAATACCCTCCAGGTCCCTCCACATCGAAGCAAATAGTGGGTATTTGTCATTTCTAATGGCTGAGTAATATTCCATTGTATACATAAACCACACCTTCTTTATCCATTCATCTTTTGATGGACACCGAGGCTCCTTCCACAGTTTGGCTATTGTGGACATTGCTGCTATAAACATGTTTTTTTTTAAATCTCTGCAGTAAGAGATTCTTTAGTGTCTTCTATGCTTTTCTCATACCCAGCTAGTATCCTTTTAATTGTTTTAACATCTGTTTCATACATCTTATATCTGTATTGAATAAATTCCTGGCCATCACTTCCTCTTCTTTCTTTTAAGGTGAATTCCTACATCTTGTCATTTTGTCTAGGTCACTGTTTTTGTTTGTTTGTCTGTTTGTGATTGTTAGGAAAGCATTTTATAGTCTTGCTCCTGAGAGTAATGGCTATATTAAGAAGAGATCTGCAAAAGGGGGGAGGGGTCTTATATGCGCTCTGCTATTGTGTTTTGGTTGCTCCTATTCTCAGGTCAGTCCTCTGCAGAGTTTCTACTTGCCTGTAGAGAGGGGTGTTTGGACCTTGTCCACTGTGTGGCAAGTTTTGACTAGTGTGTTTGGTCTTTGATAAAAGAATCTAGATCAAAAAGGAAGCTATATATTATTTCCTGTAGAGCTGGAGCTTTGTAGCACTTTATGATCAGTAACCTTGGGGCATGTGAGGGGTTTGATCTTCTGGGGAAAGGGTCTGCTGGGCCAATTTTCAGACCAACTTGCCCTAGTAAACATGCACTTGTAGGATATAGGGTGGGGGGAGCTTAATGTAAGCAGCAGCAGTCTCCAATGCAGGGTGCTGTGTTTCTCACTGAAGTTGGTCTGTGCTGCAGTGCAGAGGGTGGGAATGTCATTGCTCCTCTGTCTCCTCCCCGGAGTGAGGAGTTTGAATCCATCACTCATCAGGAAGTGCTTACAGAAGAGTAAACAAGCACCCCTCCTGTGTCCCCAGCTTCCATCAGATCCCTGTCTTTACCTTTTCTGTGTCTGAGTTGTCTGCCTGCCAGGCAGCATAGTATTCCTGTGTTTTATCTCAGGCATGCAGATGGGTTTCAAAACTCCAAATTTTAGGGACTCACGTGGTGCAGACCTGCAGTGATCCTCTAGGGCAGAGTCACTGCACTTTCCCCATTTGCTAGTTTGTCCCAATAAAGCAGTTGCATGCAGTGGTTGGGAGTTTATGGTAAATTATAGCAAAAAGCTGGCACCAAGGTTTGCTGTCCCCAGCCAGTGTCTTTGTTCCTATGCTAGGGAACAGGGCAGCACATTGTCACCACCAGTTCTTTTATCCCCAGAAAGGCCATGCCACCAGGCCCAAATACACTCCAAGAAGGGAAACTCTCTTTCCCGATACAATCCAGGGAATCCTCAGACCACATTTCCCACTCCCAGGTGTCTGCCCTCCTTCTTCACAGCAGCATCACTAAACCTACCAAGCAGGACCCTGGCAATGTCACAGACTTCTAAAGTTTCAGACTTTGTGCTCCATTGCTTGTGGTAATTTGCAGTTGTCACACCCTTGCCTTTTCCTAGCCATTGCTTTGGGGGAAGTTTTCTTGTGTAATCCTCTGCCTGCTTCTTCTCTCTCCTCCTCTCTCTTCACTCTATCTTCTCTCCTCTCTGTAATCATAGCTCCGTGCCTTCTGTAGCACCTGCAATTCTTTTCTCCCCAAAATCAACTCTCTGCATCTCCTACCTTCCATGAAGTGGTCATTTTTCTACCTATAGATGTCCAGTTTTGTTCTCTCAGTCCTCAGATGGATGTTTTTTTTTTTGTTAAGAATGATTTGATATTTAACTAGCTGTGTTTGAAGGGTGAGGCAAGCTTAGGGTCACCTACTCTTCCACCATTTTAACTCAATCCCTAATCATTTTCTTTTTTTTCTTTTTTCTTTTTTTTTGGCAGTTTTATACCTTTATTTGACAATCAGGGATTAGTTCTCATCCACATTAACGGACTGTAGATTTTTGAAAGTGGTGACAGGTATGTAGGTAACCAGCATGTAGAGTTTGTTTGGTGAATCTTCATCCTCGTTAACGTTTTCTGGACAACTGCACATGGATGCAGTATGGAACATTCCTTATTCCTTTGGTCCAGACAGCTTTGATGAGCCTGGCATTAATGTGCACATCTGGAGTTCCCATCTCCATCATGGCAAATTTCTGGATCTCTTTGAGTGCCCGAGGAGCACACTTCTTGAAACCCACTCCATGGATACGTTTGTTAATTATAATGGTGTATTCTATGGTCACTACCTCCTTGATGGCAGAACGGCCCTTCTTCTTGCCACCCTTCTTTGCAGGAGCCATTCTGCCAGGCCCTAGTTGGAAAGCCCATTTTCTTTTCTAAAGCCAGATTGTTTGCTATTGCAGTGATTGGAAATCAATCCCTTACCCTTCTTTTTTGAAACATTCTCCTTAAAAGGATGTCCTAGAGATAATTCTGTGGTTGTTTTGTGTATGGTTTTAAGCAGTGGTTCTGTCTTCACAGTATTCTAAGTCCTAGATGAAATAGCTGTCATTGTAGATCATTATGGTAATATAGTAGTCTGCACCTATACACTCTTTATGTCATTCTCTAGTATGGAAGATCAAAATAAAGTATAATTTCAAATTGGGGGCCATGGCTTTATGTTTTATCCTATTTTGTACAAAATCCTGCTATGTATGAAGAGCTTATCCTTTGCAGGACTGGATCTGAGAACAAAGTAGCTGATCATTTTCTTTCTTATCACATATTTTTCCATATTATTATGTTCTTATGTGTGCTCTTTTTGAGTAAAGAAAGCTGTTCTTCATTAAAACCTAGCATATGTACGTTAAAACATCAAAATGGGAGACAGTAATGGTTAGTTAATGGCCTACCACAAACTTTCAAAAGCTATCCATTAGGACTCCTGACTTGTTTAGACTACCTGTAACTATATCATTATTGAGAGTTGTTTATTCTTCTCAGAAGCAGCTTAAGTACAAGGCTATTGAAAGTTTTTGAAATGATTATAAAGTTGAGTTACCTATGTTTAATAATAATTTTCTAAGAAGTAAGATTAATAATTTCAACCCTAAAAAGGAATTTTCAAAAAGTCTTCTCATAGAAAGTTGCCAAATTGCAATCTGTTCATACAAATGTTTTTCAGGTGGAAGTGAATCCTCCTGGGATAAGGATAAGATGCAATCTTCTCTTGCTGCTCCTGGACCCCAACATGGACTTGCTCATACAGCCCTGGCTAACCAGCCAAGCTTTGGGGGTGCTCCTACCCTCAATCCACTGCAGCAGAACCACTTACTGACCAATAGTATGTATGCTGTCCTTTCAAAAATTGGTGTGTTGAGAAAAATACCACACAAGACCCACTGGATAACTTGGGCTGTAGGGATAATGTATTTTTCTTCCATAAGCTTTAATAGTTTGAAATCAGAAGGATAGATTGAAAGGGATTCATCTGAAAGTGTAAAGTTTATAGAGTAAAGACAGATTGAGAGGGCAAGTAGCAAATTAAAGATCCATAGGAGTCTATGTAACAGAGTAATTAAGAAAGATGTCTGTAGTCACATAAACTTGAGTTTGAAATCCACTTCGTTTGAATTCCATATAACTGTTGACCTTGGAGAATGCACCTAAATTTTCGAAGTCTCAGTGTCCGCAACTACAAAGTAGGAACAAAAATATACCTATTAAGTAAGGTTATTATGAGAGTTAAAAATAATAAAAGAAAAGCTATTAGTGACTTGCATATAGTAAGTACTGTATGAATTAGAAGAATTACTGATACTCAGTAATCAAACTTCAGCTAATGTGTACAAATTCAGGTGTAGATGATTTTTTTGTTGTTGTTTTTAGGAACTGCAATAACTCAGAAGTCTTTCTGCAGGAAATTGTGTCTTATATACATTACTTGACTAAAACCCTATTTTTTCTTTTTTTTAAGATTTTATTTATTTATTCATGAGAGACAGAGAGAGGCAGAGACATAGGCAGAGGGAGAAGCAGGTTCCATGCAGAGAGCCTGATGTGGGACTCGATCCAGGCATTCTGGGATCACTCCCTGAGCCAAAGACAGATGCCCAAGTGCTGAGCCACCTAGAAGTCCCTCTTACTTTTTTTTTAAACCTACTTTTCTCCTAAGCAGAAATCTGAGAGAAAACTTCAATTACTCCTTTCCTTGAGATTTTCATTCCCTCACTAAACCCTAGGATTAAAATAATGGAACAGTCAAATTCTGAGATATCTTAATATGATGTTTTAAATCTTAATTAAATTAATCCGTTTTAAGCATATAAAATAAGTTATGGTGTCTTTAAAATTATTATAAACTCAAGTGTGAAGTGTCTTATAAAATAGGAATGTTAAGCAACGGTCAATAAATAAAGGCAAGAAATTTATAAATATTATGTTATAAGAAGACAAAAAATGACTGATTATGGTAGATTTACTTCTTAAAGTAAGAGAACTTAGAAGACTTCTGGTTTCTGATCGGACATGTAAAGAGGTTTGAAGTTGTCACTCCTCCTCAAAGCAAGAGCAACAATTCTTTTAAATCAATCAGAGATAGGCAGATACAGAGAATCAGAGCTTATAGGGAGCAGAAGCCACAGCTGGAGTCAGGTAGAAACCTTTAAATTTCTGGAGATTCAGTGAGGACCTAGCTTGAGAGATAAGAACCACTGGGGGCCAATTCTTAGTGGGTCCCTGCACTTTCATGAGTCTTAAACTTCAGGAGCCCCTTAAGGCTCTCTGGATGAAAATCTGAGAAACTTCCCCTCTTGTCTCTGGCTGGGGGGCAAGAAGAGTACCCATTTCAAAATATTCCCAGAGTGTTCTATTCTTAACAAAGGCCTGCTCTCAAAGGAAACTATTTTACCAGAGTTAAACAATTTATTTTACCAGAGCCTAACTGATGTGGGGGAAAGGATATATTAAAATCCAACACCCTGTAGCCATTGATGTGAGGTTAGGGAGATGCACATCTCCAGCCCTTTTAGCATTTCCTGTGGGAAAGAGAAATACTCAGCTCTATCCCCCTCTATCTTTCTTCTCTCACTTGAGGGAAAAAGCTAAAATTACTTGTGAAGATCATAGCTCAAGGACACATGCTCACTAAGAGACTGAAATCTAATTATATGTTTCTCCTTCTTACTCATTTTCCCACCACCATAATAGTTTTTTTTTTTTATAAGAACCGGGATTACAAATGAAAAAATTAGTCTTCAGACCCAATTGAATTTGGCTTCTTCAGGGTACACCAAAGATAACTCCATCACTAATACAACAGCTACAGCAAACAGTAAATTTCACCTAATGCCTTGACAGATAAAAATAAAGCCTCCTATGTAAAGCCTGTTTACCTCAGTTGCCTTCAGCCAATGCACCATTTCAGCTTTAAAGCAAAAATTACAAGGCATGAAAAAGAAAAAAAAAACAGTCTAAAGATATTAAGCAAACATCACAATAAGAATTAGATATAACACATATTTTAGAATTATCAGACCTCAATTTAAAATAACTATAGTTAATATACTGAGAGAGTGGAAAACATACAAGAACACATGGAAATATTAACACTGAAATGATTATACTTGAGTAAAAATAATATGTGGGAAATAGAGGCAGAGAGATGAATTTTTTGTGTATTTTTATTGGAGTTTGATTTGCAAACGTTTAACATAACACCCAGTGCTCATCCCGTCAAGTGACCCCTTCACTGCCCGTCACCCAGTCACTCCATCTCGCTGCCCACCTCCCCTGCCATTACCCCTTGTTCATTTCCCAGAGTTAGGAGTCTCTCATGTTCTGTAATCCTCTCTGATATTTCCCACTCATTTTCTCTCCTTTCCCCTATAATCCCTTTCACTATTTTTTATATTTCTCAATTGAGTGAAACCATATAATGATTGTGTTTCTCCAATTGACTTACTTCACTCAGCATAATACCTTCCAGTTCCATCCATGTTGAAGCAAATGGTGATTATTTGTCGTTTCTAATGGCTGAGTAATATTCCATTGTATACATAGACCACATCTTCTTTATCCATTCAACTTTTGAAGGACACTAAGGTTCATTCTACAGTTTGGCTATTGTGGATATTGCTGCTATAAACATTGGGGTGCAGGTGCCCAGTGTTTCACTGCATCTGTATCTGTGGGATAAATCCCCAGCAGTGCAATTGCTGGGTCATAGGGCAGTTGTATTTTTAACTCTTTGAGGAACCTACATACAGTGTCCTAGAGTGGCTGTACCAGTGGCTGTACATTAACACCAACAATGCAAGAGGGCTCCCCTTTCTTCATATCCTCTCCAACATTTGTTCTTTCCTCTCTTGTTAATTTTCACCATTATCACAAATGTGAGGTGGTATCTCATTGTGGTTTTGATTTGTATTTCTCTGATGACAAGAGATACAGAGCATTTTCTCCTTTGCTTGTTGGCCATGTCTATGTCTTCCTTGGTGAAATTTCTGTTCCTGTCTTTGGCCCATGTCATGATTGGATTGTTTGTTTCTTTGATGTTGAGTTTAATAAGTTCTTTATAGATCTTGATTACTAGCCCTTTATCTGATATGTTATTTGCAAATATCTTCTCCCATTCTGTAGGTTGTCTTTTACTTTTGTTGACGGTTTCTTTTGCTGTGCAGAAGCTTTTTATATTGATGAAGTCCCAATAATTCATTTTTGCTTTTGTTTGTCTTGCCTTCATAGATGTATATTGCAAGATGTTGCTGTGGTTCACAAAGGGTGTTGCTTGTGTTGTCCTATAGGATCTTGATGGATTCTTGTCTCCCATTTAGATTTTTCATCCATTTTGAGTTTATCTTTGTGTATGGTGAAAGAGAATGGTCTAGTTTCATTCTTCTGCATGTGGATGTCCAATTTTCCCAGCACCATTTATTGAAGAGACTGTCCTTTTTCCAGTGGATAGTCTTTACTGCTTTGTCAAATATTAGTTGACCATAGAGTTGAGGGCCCATTTCTGGGTTCTCTATTCTGTTCCATTGATCTATGTGTCTGTTTTTGTGCCAGTACCACACTGTCTTGATGATGACCACTTTGTAGTACAGCTTGAAATCTGGCATTGAGATGCCCCCATCTCTGGTTTTCTTTTTCAATATTCCCTTGGCTATTCAGGGTCTTTTCTGATTCCACGCAAATCATACAATAATTTCTTCCAACTCTCTGAAGAAAGTTCATAGTATTTTGATAGGGATTGCATTGAATATGTACATTTCCCTAGGTAGCATAGACATTTTCACTATATTAATTCTTCCAATCCATGAGCATGGAATATTTTTCCATCTCTTTGTGTCTTACTCAATTTCTTTCAGAAGTGTTCTGTAGTTTTTAGGGTATAGATCTTTTACCTCTCTGGTTAGGTTTATTCCTATGTATCTTATGCTTTTGGGTGTAATTATGAAGGGGATTGACTCCTTAATTTCCCTTTATTCAGTTTCATTGTTGGTGTATAGAAAGGCCCCCTGATTTCTGGGCATTGAATTTGTATCCTGCCACACTGCCAAATTGCTGTATGAGTACTAGCAATCTTGGGGTGGATTCTTTTGGGTTTTCTACGTACAGTATCATGTCATCTGCAAAGAGGGAGAGTTTGACTTCTTTGCCAATTTGAATGCCTTTTATTTCTTTTGTTTCCTGATCACTGAGGCAAGGACTTCTAGTACTCTGTTGAACAGCAGTGGTGAGAGAAGACATCCCTCTCATGTTTCCTATCTTAGGGGAAAGGCTCCCAGTGTTTCCCCATTGAGAATGTTATTTGCTGTGGGCTATTCTTAGATGGCTTTGAAGATGGTGAGGAATTTTCCCTCTATCCATACCCTGTGAAGAGGTTTGTTCAGGAATGGATGCTGTATTTGTCAATTGCTTTCTCTGCATCAATTGAGAGGATCTTATGGTTCTTGTTTTTTCTCTTGTTGATATGATCTATCATGTTTATTGTTTTATGAGTGTTGAACCAGCCCTGTATCTCAGGGATAAATCCCACTTGGTCATCGTGAGTAATCTTCTAAATGTACTGTTGGATCCTATGGGTTAGTATCTTGTTGAGAATGTTTGCATCTGTGTTCATCAGGGATATTGGTTTATAATTCTTTTTGGTGGGGTCTTTGTCTGGTTTTGGAAGTAAGGTGATGCTGGCCTCATAGAACCAGTTTGGAAGTATTCCATCCCTTTATATCTTTCGGAACAGGTTTAATAGAATAGGTGTTGTTTCTTCTTTAAACGTTTGACAGAATTCCCCTGGAAACCCATGTGGCCCTGGAATTTTGTGTCTCGGGAGGTTTTTGATGA